AGGAGGCCTCCAATCACTTGGGGAAGGTTTTAATTTAGGAGGGTGCTATAAGAAATTAAAGTCTAAAATACACATTAAATGTCTAAACAGACATAGACATTTGGCCAACTGGTCTGCCTCCTGCCAGTTGGGATTTTTAAGTATGTTACGTTTATTTGAAATATTTGTTTCCTTTGTTTCAGTGGCATGCCTGTAAACTAGCTAAGCTTAGTGCTTGTATAGCTAAGTGCATGGCCACTATAAATAAGATTTACATTTTTTTACATTTACATTGATTACATTGCCGTTGGCACAAACTGAAAATGCCGGTTACAAGTGACTAATGAATTTAAAAATTTATGCTTCCGAAGCATCAAAACGTTGACTTTGAAATCAATATTTTCACTTACTGTCTGTTCGGCCATATTCAATTCCTTCCTTTGGTTCAGCAATTTACTGAAGACAATGAATGATAATTAATTTATGAATTAGTAGCCGTGTAAATGACAATGAAATGAGAATGTTGTTAGTTGCATAGCTGTTCAAAGTTTAACCATGCAGTTGCAATTTACTTACCTTTTGTACTCTTCGTTTATCTTAACTATCATCTGCAAATTGAAGGTTCAAAACAAAATATTATTGTTCATAAAACAATGCCTGATAGATTGTCTGAAGAGGAAACTCAATCCAAAATGCTTAAGTCAAAATATTGATGAGATTTAGTGCTCAATCAACAAGTCAGTTAACTAGTAGACCTAGTAAAAGTCTCAAGCGTTGAACAGCGAAGAATACCTTCTTACTTTCTTACGTCCCATGTTGTGCCACGTTATCAGGATACATTTAATGATATCACTGATATACAAAACTCTATCACGTTGAGGAGATACCAAAATGACCTAAACAAACCTTTGTGGCTGTTGTAATGGCTGCTAGGTTTGTTTTCAATTCTTCTTTCTAATAAAGTACATCATAAAAAAATATTAATACACAATAAATATATAAATAAAAGGATATTTTTTATCTGTACGACGATATAATTATCTAATGTGAGTGTATACGAGCCACTAGGAGAGCGAACACACCATCGTATAACATGGAAACGAGTGTGAGTTCTAGAAATAATAACGTCACTTACTTCCTTTAATTCTAAGCCTTCCAATTCTTTGGTGGCCATCTGAACTATTCTACAGTGAAGCAAAATAAATATCCAGCAGTTAGTGTTGCTGGCGCTAAATCCAGAATTTGACACTCGATACCATCTGGAACTCGGATTTTGTTTTTTTCCGAGTTGATGTCATTTCTACATTCGATACCAGTTGCTTGACGAAAAATACTCACCCTAAAATTACTATGCAAGAAACATATAAATCAATGCCATTCAACTTATTTAATCGGCGGGTTAAAACCTTGACCAAATTGTTGAGAACGAATTATTTATCTGATTTTGGTTTGATGCTGAATCTTTGAATGGTAAATTATACAATTTTCCCAATATCCATTACCTTTCCACTTCTTCCACATCAGAATCGCTGATAACCTCCTGTAAAAAAAGGAACAAGTGGCCAATATTTACCCATCGTCTGTAGTACTTAAGACCTGGCCAAACATACTCGCAAGTGGTCGCAATTAGCCGCAAGTCGACCTTGCGTAGAGACTTGCTTTGGGTGGCGGACTCGCAGGTTTCCTCGTCAGTACACGCAAGTCGTAAAAACCCCTTTCAAGGCAAACATATCCTGTATTTCATTGGCTAATAATAAGTTAATGGACATCACTCAACTTGCGTTGACTTAAGTTGGGTGGCCAAACGAGGAAAAACTTGCGTGTAAATTTGATCTTTACCAAAGAGGGCACAAGCCATCGCTAGTCAACGCAGCAAGTGAACGCAAGGCCTAGCCAAACGGAGAACTAAGTAGACCCAGGTTTTCAACTTGCGTCTACTTGCGAGTCCATTTGGCCAGGGCTTTATAATTAAGCAGAATGTAAACATTCAAAAATAATTAAAAATATAAACACCTTCCAGGAGTCAGAAAAACACACGCTTCTGTTGATCGACATTTTTGTCTCCAAGAAATTACTGGGCTCAAACTTCAGAGAAACACGACTTACACTTACCATTTGACCTCTGTCACGTAATCGCCTTTCGCATACTTCAAGTTCACTGTGTATAAAGTATTTGACAACAAACTAATAAATAATTACAATTGAATACAATTATTTCGTTAAATTGTGCAGATAGTTCCATTCATTGATCTGTCTCTGTATATGTTGGAAGGCATTTCCCTGAGGCATTGCATTAGCCCCCACTGTGTTATTTTCTCAGTTGGTTGTTTATCCTTTATTACTTGTGTCATATCTATACAAATTTAATTTCTTCAGTTGATTTGAAATTGAATATATACTTACTCCCTGTAGCGGCGATTTTCTTCCTGTAGTTGTTTTAGCTCATTCTGTCAGGCAGGTAAAAGATAATAAAACAAGCTGCTGTTATTGATGAATTTTAGCTAATACAAATCAAGATAACCTCAGAACCTTGACTGATCTGAGCTTATGTGTTAACTACAAAGAGTTTCAGTATTAGTTCAGTTCCACACCTTAGCGCTGTCTCTCTCCGTGGTATCTTTCTTTAGAGCATCGGCCATTTGTCTTTTGGTTTCCCTAAATGGAATTGAAAACAGTTATCAAAGATTGGCCGGGTCCGCTGGAAAGCCGCAGTGGAGGTCCTATGCTCCGTTCGGAGTGTAGAGGACTGAGTAAGTAAATCATTAAACACTGAAGACACTCTGACATTTAGTTAAAGTATAGAAGTTAAGGATGCGGTAGCTTTTGCTTCCTTTATTATAAAATTGTACGTTTAATAGGATTCGTTAGAAGATGCAATTCATATTCGCGAAATATATACACATATATATAGATAAAAAAAAAACAACAACAACAACAAAATAAAAAGCAAAGAACAAACAAACAGAATCAAAAACTCGAACAGAAACTTGTTTCATTAACGATATCCGAACTTCTCTACTGCGCTTTTATCGAGTTTATTAATAACCATTACTTGAGGTTATTTTATATTGAAACTATGCATAAACGAATAGATTTTTACCGAGCATTGTACGTACATACAAGATATACTGGTTATTAAATAGGTCTGTAAAGTTGACGTAGAAGTTAATCACTTGGTTCACTTCAGTCCTTTTTACTTACTCAAAGTAGGCCTGTATGTTGACAAGCTTCCTGTTCTGGGATTCTACAGCCTTGGTTAAAGCCTTTTCAAAATATTTAAAATAAAAAAATTCCAAGAAAAGAGCTCAGTTTCGTCGGTGAATGTGGCCATTGTTTGGGCCGTTTCATATCAGGTAAACAAGTTCCAAACAAATTGAAAATCAACCAGGTTTAACTTATTTAATATATTGAACAAAAAGCTTACTCTGTTTTCTTCTTCCATAGTGTTACAAAACTTTCCGATCTCTTCTTGAGACGTACTTTTATCTGGATTCATGAATTCCAAAGAAACGAAGCGGGAAGGAACGTCAAGCCATTAATGCATATAGTGAATCTATACTTGACATAAGAAGATCTAAAACTGTTCAAACAATTTCATTGGGAGAAAATGATACTGCGATGGAGGCAATAAAACAGAGAATAAATGGAAAAGCATCAGAATTTGACTGATTTTTGCACGGTTTTTGTTTTAATTTGATCGCCTGCGTGACCATGGATATGGGACATAACTGAACTCCTTACTGGAAAGGGGATAATCACTAAGTTTTTTTTTATGATCCTTTCAGCCTCTGATCCAGTGACGTAGACACATTTCAAATCAGACCAAATCTTGATAGGTTGCTTTTAGCAGTGAAAATGGTTCGTCAATAGACTCCTCTCCGACAACGCCTACCAGAGGTTTTGGATAACGACTGAGCTTTAAATTATAAGCTGCATACGGTCTCCATCATAGCGCGAGCATTAACGATTTAGTTTTAACACAACGACACAATCAACGGTCATTTGCGAACCTTGGTTCAGGCAACATGTCATGATTAACTATCTAGAAAAGAGGCCAAAAATTACCAAATTGTCATGTTGAACATTTTTCACCGTTCCAATCAAAATGCACCCACTAAGCAGAGATCAATATAATTTGTTTTCTATTTTCTCCGCAAATCTTCGTTTCCGTTTCAGATTTAGTTCCTCGCTTTTCCTCGGATAGTCTAATCTCACCTTCAGTTTTGGTATTTAATTTACTCGCAGTTTAGAAAACTTTAGATTTTCCATGTTTTCTTCTTAATTTTACTTTCAACGATAAACCCGCAAAATAAACAACAGCTGATCATCGTACGACGAAGAGAAAAATCTATTAAAATCTTTTTTATCACTGTATAGTACGTTTGGGACAACAACGATAAGCGCTATATTAAAAGTGTATTTATATCTATATTACCTTACCTGTATGTTCGTGTTCCATTGTTATGTTCACGGTTTCCCGAATTGATTTCTTTTTTTTTTTAATGGATGACTTCGGTAAACGTGCTTTGCAAGTTGTGAGTAACATTGCGACACAATTTACATTAACGTCATTCAACTCTCAGATAACTTGTCAGCGCGTGCTCTAAACTCTTAGTGCAATGTTCATTTAAACGTTTGATTCTATGATTACAATTTAATAGAACAAAGTTATCACAACTGTTAAATATCGTTATGGGTTTGGCAATTTCCTAGCATTTCCACAATGTTGCTTTTATAGGGGTATTTAACGAAAACATTATTGAGAGTCCGTGTATATTTGTGATACGTGAGCTAGTAAACGGTTGGCGCGCGCGCATATGTACATGCGCGCACATATGCTGGCGACAAATCCGAAATGCGAGAATTTGGCTTCAGAGTGAATTTTTCCTCGATATGTTGACGAGCTTTATCTGTGGCATGAAAAGCAAGTCTCAAAGAAATGAGCGACAGTTGGCCTGTGTGGATTTTATTGCTTGAATTTTATTTCATGATCAATTTTGAACTCACTGAGAAATGCATGGAGATACTAGTAATATCTGTCTAAATTTAAGAACTTGCTAGCCAATCCACGGGATGGGACGATAGTTATCATATATTCCAGAATACAATAATAGCATTGCATCCTTGCCTCAAGGTATTCTGTCTAGCTTTGATTTCAAGTTCTGTGAAAGGAACGCGAGAGAACCCTTTCTTGTAGAGTTTTAAATCTCGCAGCGTCACACCTCATCATAACAGTCCACGCTTTCTTCAGCGAAAACATCTATGGACAAGCCCCCAAAAATTATTTTATTTCAAATTTGTCAAATTAAAGGAACTTCTCGCCTCCCGCTCACTCAAGCTTTCAAAGCTCCAACGAGGAGTGAAAGAGAATTATAGTCAACACCACATAAACACGATGCTTGTTTTTTGAGTGCTTTATTAGAACAGTTTTAAAGTTAAATTGGCTAGTTCCTCGCCTGTATGAATTCAATATCATTAACAAACGGTGAGGAATGAGTGATTAAGTAAGAAAGCAATACTTTGAAAAACACAGGAAGATATTTTCAAATGGCTACTGAAATTCAAGAGAGTTTGCACACAAATTCTCTTAGCGCCACCTCGTGTTTTATCGATATAAGCGTGTTTAATCTTTACAGTACAGTTGACCTAACTTGACCTAGTTGTCTCATTTCTGGAAGGCTGAGTGTTTTGGTTCCTCTTCATGCTAATAGTGATTCAATTTTAGGGTGAAGTTCACTGAAAGAAAGGGATATAACCCTACAACAACAAACAAAAGCCAAAGGCCATAAATGAGAGGACCACGCTGATGAAAGCTTTTCCAGCGCCTGCTTTGGGTGGAGGATCCTTCATGTCCTTGCAAAACGGGTTGAAGGGGTCACGTGGTGGCGGTTTTTCACAATACTTCTTCATCTTCCCTTCAAAACAGATTTTTGCTTCCATGAAAAACCTGAATAAAGAAAATGGTACTTTTAAGTACGTCAGTCGTAACTCTTGTACGCGACCACCTTTGGAGTTAAAAAAAAAATATTCGTAGCAAGGGCTAGTCGCTTATGAAACGACCCCAAGATAGAACAATGGGGTCGCTTACGAGAGCTTTTCAAAGAATAAAGTTTGCGAAATGTAATAGTCTAGCTAGTAGCTGTAAAAATCACTTTCTTTTGCCAGTTACAGGTTCATAAGTGTGCAGCTAACCAATCCGTTTGGATTCAAAGCGTTCTCAGAACCAATTATTCAGATAACTAGTGTGTCATAAATAAATGAATTGGATCCTTGGAGTGATTGCTGGTAATTGCCATGCCAAAAACAGTCGTGGCTGCTTACAAGAGCTTTTCATTGCTGAGTTTCAGTGACAGTTCAAACGGGGTTTCACAAAGGTGGTCATAACTAGAACTGGTCACCTGCGAGAGCGTCCAAGAGCGTGCGCGCAAGGAGAGCGTCCGCTGTGTTTTAATTGGCATTGTGGAAGCTCAGGCCTGGTGGAAGCTCGTAATGCGCGGAAGAAGAGTGGGGGACGGGAGGGGGCACAATATAACTTCCCTCTAGTTGTGACAGTGACATAATATTAAATAAGAAAAACATTTTAAATCTTGGACGGTTAATATCATAATAGAACAAATTTGATGTATCAGGGATGATACACAATTTGTCGTCGGTTCCATGATTTTGACACCTTGGTACTTCTCAAGTTACTCATTGTCCCCCTATCGGTGTAAAAGGTGAGAATACCCTTTTACACTGTAACAGAAACCGTTACCATGTGTAAGCCGCCTAAGTTAAGCAATATTCTATAACTTACTTGCACAGATGAGTGGAGTTCCTGTTGGCCTTAAACTTGTTATGAAATGTGTCGGCGCATTCTTCGCCTTTGTCAAGAAACTCGTTATCGCACTTCAGCATATCTGCTACCGGTTTGGGCAGCCCGCTATTGTTCACGGGAGGCCCATCAATACCACACAGCAACCGTCCAAAGTGATGAAGCTTGGCTTTCATGTCAGCCATTCTTTTGATTGGCTCTTTCATGTAGCTATGTGTTTTTATGTATTCGCCGTAACACTTGTCGACTGTGACGTTTCTATTGCACTCCATGAATTTCTTTAACTCATGGCTGCCCAGGTGAGAAAGAGAAAAAGAGAAAATTATTTTATTTTCGCGTTTCTAAGGTATGATAAATTTGAACGATCTAAATTGTCAGGTTTTTTTTTGGTAAATCAACTCAGATCAGCTCAAGCAAAACTATGATTAGAAGAACTTCATGTGTTCTGTACCATTGGATCGGAACAGTTCTCTGTCACCAACCGCAGGTAAAAAAAACAGTATTTTCCTTTAGCTATTTAACCCTCGGCCGTACAAGGAAACTCATACTCCCAAGGGGGATGTATACGATTTTTCAATTTCATAAATCCTCTTTTGGCACCTCTGCCTATACCCTCTCGTAATTGGAACCTATCCCATAATCTGAAGATGAGGCACAAGAGCTTTTATAGCCAATGGGAGTTGTTAAGAAGCCCTTTCAACATAAATTCAAGACACCCAATTTATAAATTAACTTATTAAAAAATATTGTACTGACAAACCTGCAGTTGGCAGATGGGTGTCGAATTTTCTTGAGGAAGCCATGCGCGCATTTCATGTCCTCGTCCTTCTTTTCCATTTCAGAGCATTTGCTCACTATCACATCATTTTCGGCTTCAGAGTTTGGCAGTTCTATATATATATATATATAAACAGAGAGAAAGGAAAAAAAAAATCTGAATTAATGCTTTCCAGACCACGGGCCGAGGAGAAAACTGGGGGGCTGGGGATAGAATCAATCCCACTTTCGAGCCTTAAACAATGTTAATAATAAGTCCTGGGACCTAGATTGCGTCTCTACGAGAGGCGCCTGCAGGGAATTATGGTAGTTGTATTCATCATCTTGGACTGGAGATTTGTTTTGATGAACACAACTACCATGATTCCGTGCAGGCTCGTCTATAGAATTTGGAATTGGCCACTGGAACTCAAAAAACTCTAAAACCCCTGTAAAAAAATAATGTTTTAAAAAATAATCTAAAAATTACTTTTCTAGCTATGTTCTTATGATGATGTTATTTAATGTCAGTGTCACTGGAGATTTCGTGGTGCTTTCCTTCTTCTGCATCATCCCGTAGAGTAGATTTATGGATGGCAGTTGTTATGATAATTAAGAAGACTATGGCACCCTACAGACCTTTAAAAACACCTTTTATCATGCAAAACATTTCAAAATAATCCAAAGCCTGTGAAGACTAGATTTTATATTTTGCGTGCGCGTTTTACAATTATGGTAGTCTTCATTTTGCTTTCAAGTAAACTAAAGCTTATATAGTCGTTAATCATGGCTTTACCTTCTTCATTAGTATTTTGCGCGAACGCCTATCATGTGAGAGTGCGCACGGAAAAAGTGATTCCGTTATAAACTGTGTAATCCAAATAAAAGTTTACATAGCTTTGTCATGGCGATAAAAATTACTTGTTGTGTTTCTTTGCAATTCGTTGTAGACCCAGCCGAGGTGACACCGTTTAATGATCTTCTCAGCCCAATCGGGAAGGTTGCTGCAGTTTTTGCTTGCAAACTTGATACAGTCCAGTTCATTGAAAAACTTCATGAAGACTTAATTGAAACTACACGCAATAATAATTTTTGAAATCTCGACATTTCACATGATCTCTGCTAAGTACAATATATAAACAAGTCATTGAAGATAAGAACGGATGACTCTTGATCATGAATCATACTGAATCCTACAGAACAACAACAGAAAATTAATTTCCGGAGAGTGGTATTTTTTCATAGCTTTTCAATGCAGAGCATGTGATTACATCAGCACAAGAGATCATCCTTTCTTGATCAACAGAAGAAAGTTGTTAGCATATTAAAAGCAAACTTCAAGCCTGACTCAAATAAAGTATGGGCTATGTTATCTGACTTAAACTGAAGCAGTAGAATTAAATAAAACAAATAATTCCCCGTTATAGTTCGTCTTTCGTGAATTGTACGAGAAGGAGCCTAATAACTTCATGATCTGAGCTGCGAAATTGTTAGTGAAGCTCCGGTGAAGTGTAACATATATACATGTATTTAGTTTTTTTCAATGTGTACATTGTCACCAGGTCATAAGTTCCATTTTTTAAAGCGCTGGCGAAAACTGCAGTTGTTATATAATTAACGACAGCAAGGGTTGCTAAGGCTTGGTATTTGCATGGTGTAACCAAACAGTCCTTCCTTGCAGAAACTACAAAACATCGTTGCTAATTCACCGTGGATAAGTTGGCTTTTTTTGGGACAAAGGATTTGAAATCGGTTATGTAAATTTTTGCCGACTCTTCTTGGAGTTGACACTGAAATGCACGCAAAAGTCTGAATTTTTTTCGTGTTATAAAATCTTGTTTAGCGGGAAATTTCATCGAGACCTAAATATTATGGAAAGCCGGCAGAATTAAAGACTGGCAGGTGTTGGCAGGGCAGTGAAACTCAAATGCTATCTTTTCATGGACTTCCTTCCCTTCCCTCGTTTGCCGATTTGGATTAATAAGACACGAAATAAACTTGGAAGATTGTGAGCAAGATCAACTTATTTCGATGGTCGCTACCGATTTACAGCTAGAAACGACTTGGGAGAAAGAAGAACAGATAACGTTGTTTGCCTTCATGGCAACAAACTTCGAATTCTGACTGATTTCAGTTAATTTGAACCAAGCTCAGCGAACCATCTTGAAACAAATTCAGTTTTTCAGCTTGACTAGTAAGAGTCGTTAAATATGAAATATACTTCCGATGACCACCGCCCTAGATTCAACTATGTTTCCGCGATGGTTATGGAAGAAACTTGGTTATGGCTAAAACAAAGTGCAAAATTTTACCTGCAAGTAAGAAAAAAGCCAAGGCTGCCAAAATAAACACAATTTTCTCCATATCTGTAACTCTTCGCTCTCATATAAAGCAGCGTAGGGCAAAAACAAATGCCAGTGTATATCTGTGTCGAGCCGGCCTGTGTCGATGCCGTTCTGACTATCGAATGAAATGAGCTCCTGGAGGGAAAAAATTATTTTCTTGGGTATTGTTGTGATCAACCAATAGCACAACGCTTTAGCTGAGAGTTTTAATGCCGCAAACAGTACAATAACAATAACTTGCACATTTTCTTTTGATGATCCCGGAAAATTAGACTTTGTAATTTTCGTCGAACTGGTTCCATGTAAACACCTGCTTTTACACTTGATTTGTAAAAAAGAAAAAGCAGTAAACTTGCGTCAAATTAATTACAGGACAGTGTCTGCCATCAGGCTATAGAGTTAGAGTAAGGCAGCGTCCACACTACCGGAGTGAAACGAAGCTCTTCGAGAACTCTCTTCAAATTGGAATTTGGAAAATACTGGAAACGCCGACTTTTCGTTTCCGTGTGGACCGAAAACATTTAATTTTGAAAACGGTGCTATTCGAAAACGATGGCCTTACGATCACGTTAACCATGTGATTTCCCGACGTAGTTTTCCGTCAACCACAAGTCCAAAATGACCGGTGATTGTTGCGTTTCTAAATTCCCATGGCGTAGTGTGGACGGAAAGCATTTGATGCGTTTTCAGAGTAAAAACGCCGCTTTCAAATTCTTCGGGCGTGCGTAGTGTGGACGGGGCCCACGTTGAAACCATGATAATGAGCCAAACTGAATGCCCTAAAAATTTACACGCGGCACAATAGTCATGGCTGTTTTTGTACTAGGACACACAGTCCATGTAGATGGACTTGGATAGCTGCATAAAAGACTGAAACATAATCTCTTGCCTAGATCGAATGGTCTAAGCACGATCAATTTGATTTCAAATTTATGTTACAGTGATGGGCTCCTGCGAAACGACGGATAAGGCTGAAGGGCGGAGCTTAAAACACGTCCTGAATGAGAAAAGAGATCATTTTACAGAGCCCATTAGCCGAAGAGTTTCTTTCTTTCCTCTCTTACAATTGCCTCATCCTGATTAAATTGTTCATCAAAGCCGACCTTGATTTCTTTGTAACCCTATTCCGAAATGCGTGACGAGCTTCTAGGAAGCGTTGCGTGACAAAAGCACGCGAACAGTCCCAATCCTTAACGTATCATAGCAACCCTCCGTCAGAGCCGGCTCGACAGACAATCATTGCATGTAAGTCGCATATTTAAATAGAATTAGTCTGAAGTGTAATGATTTGAGTTGCCGTTGTTGTTTACGAATTCTAGTCATTTGCACAACATTTGTCGCTAGAAATTATCAACACAACTTGCAGCAGCTCGTCACTAAAGGATCCGAAAGTACGCAGAGATTCGAGAATTCCATCACATACGCACGATTGAGTTGACAGTTTATGCTAGCTGAAGCAATGTAATCAAGACTACTGTGGCTTCCTCGTGATTACTGAATTGCTTACGGTTAATCAACAAGTTGATAAAATGGAATGATGTCGGTGAAAGTGGATAAAATCATCGTTATTTGGAAACATGCAGTGTCGACCTTGATCTAATTTAACTTTGGAAGCTTACTGTATGTGTATTTAAATGCAAGCAAAGCTAATATCTGCTTTATTTAGAATGTTTTGGTAAGTTATATAAACACAGACACCGTCCCAGCGTATTTGTACACTTCAAGGATTTTTTTGGAGCTGTTTCCAGAGGTGATGGTTGCGATCTTGGTTAGTCCACTGGCGTGTACAAGTTCCTTGGCGCGTATTTTCGAATTTTGGCTCGTGAGATTTTGTTACAGATAATCCAACGTACGATTAAGTTACAACAGTTTTTGCCATAATGGATCAGTCTAGCCCTGATAACGGGTCGGAAACTGAAGAAGAAGACTCCAAGGTTGCTGATGCAGCAAATAAAGAGTTTGAGGACTTAGAGAGAAGAAGAATGGAGTCGATTGGAGAAGAGACTGAAAGTGATGAAGCACAAAGCTTCATGAGTGAGAGAAGCAGTTATTTACACATCCCTTATGGTTTTCAGAGTAGAGGATCCTATAAACACGCTTCAAAGAACTGTGAGATTGTTGGAGGTAGAATTATTTTTTATAACTATTTATTTATTTATTTATTTGTTTGTTTATTTTTTAGGTATATTATTATTATTTTGGTTGTTCAACTGTTATACTTAATTTTTTTTTCTAAAACTCTCACAGTACACTGGGACATGTTTACGAGCTAAATTGACACAATTAGAAATGAAAGGATTTCACATCTTGATCAAAACATGTTTGATTCTGAGCATGGTTATTAGACTACTTCACTCGGTAGTTTTGCTAATTTGCTGGAAATTAAGACTCATAATATATATTATGTGAACATTATACAGCTCCAAATATGTTTACTCTAAACATGTTTTGGTGCTGGCGTGAACGTGAAATTTAAAACAGGCAAAGAGCATGTTGGGTGACAATTATAGTAGCAAACTGGTAAAGAATGCCCATGCATCATGAGCAAGGCTGAAGTTCTCTGCATTGCTCCAGAAAATATCCACCCCTCTGGTTAAAAGTTTTGGGGAGTTTGTACCCCCTCCCCCCACCCCTTTCACCCCTCTGGAAATTTTGTCTGTAGTCTTTTTCCATAAGTCATAAAGTTAGTAACAACAATGCATATGTAATATGATAACTAGGTTTGAATGCTTGTTTGAATCTTGTGCATATGTAATTCAGTTATTCTTTATACTTGCTTTTATAATTTTCTCTTGTTTTATAGTGACACACAATCCGCGATTCAGACAGTTTGTGTTTCTTGATTCACGGGGGATCACAAGTTGGTCATATGAAAGTGTTTACAATACAGGTACTTCTACAACATAGATATGACTCCATTGAGTGTTGTACATAATGGCTGACTTTATAAATTTCTGGTATCTGCAAGACTTTTAAGTACACTTTAGAGCATAATATGAATCACGAAAAAGAATATGAGGTAAATTTGTTATGAGTTATAGTATTACATGCAAGTTCCTGTTGGAATTTAGCACCTCTGGATCCACATAATCAGCACCACGCCCATATGTCAGTAGGTAATTAGAGAAAGCCACCCTTCAGCTACCTGTCTTAACAGCCCATTTCCTAGTGGCCTGATTCTCAGACGGTCCAGGTCACTTGCGGCCACGCACTCTCTCTCCCTTCCGTGGGAGAGAGAGAGAGAGAGAGTACTTGGTCAAGAGCCACCTGGACCATCAGAGAATCAGGCTAATTTCTGAGTTGCATTAAGCCTCACTATCAAAGCGAGGCCTGGTGTACAACCATTTAAAACATCTGAAAATGAGTTTAATTTTCATGTGAATGAAATCTATTTTTTATATGAGAGACTCACTTTGAGAGAGAGGCTAAATATAATTTGGAAATGGCCTATTATACATGATATTACATGGTTAATAGATAAATCAACTTATTTATGTATTTATTTTGAAATTAATTTATGTGTTATTTATTTATTTATTTATTGACAGTGACAAGACACTTCAATTATCCATCATACCAGTTTAATGTCCTGCGACTCATTATATTTTCAAGAAAGTTCAATGTGTATTTTGCACTATCCAAGGAGTACGCTTTGAAGGTAAATGCTGTTAGTAGTGATGCTACAGTCGAGATAAGGGACCACACATTCACACAAGAAAAAATGTGTGCATTTTGCACATGCTGAGTGATTGGCCACTTACCTCTGACCTGTACTGTACTGTAGTAGTATTTTTTTTTTCAATATTTTTAAATACAAATTTAAATTTCTATCATAAGCTTTTGATAATCTTAAAACTCATGCTGGTTACTTTGTTTCTGTGTAGGTTTTTAATCTAAACTTCCATGAGGTGTTTTCAGTGTCAGCTGAAATGCATTCGGTGCTGTGTATGGTGTTTAATCACGTGAAGGATGAGCTTATAACTGGAGGGACTGGTGGCATGAAGGTGACTGAGGCAATATTGATAATAACAAAATATATCAATTCAACCACTAAGATTTTCTAGATTAAATTTTACTTGATATTTTAGATTGTCATTAATTGATATTCTTGAGAATAAGTGCATGTCCTGCTTCTCTCCAGGTCATCTTTGTAAAGGAAATACTAATGGTTTAACCCCTAAGTAAGCCCTTTAAATTATGAAGTGACACATTATACGTTGCACCCCTTCTTTGCTGTAATTTTGGACTTCTGTCTCAGCAGCTGAATGTTTTTGGAAGATTAACTTTTAACAGCTCATGAATGTTTTTTTTTTTTAATTGACAAGACCAGTGTACACATAGACTACATGGATAATGCACACCTTATTTGCCTGTTTCCATATTTTATTTTTTTGAATTTTTACCTTTTTTCAGTTCTGGACATTTGGAGAGATTGAGCATGACAGGCAAAAAGCCTGGGAGAGAGATTCGAGACCAATGGCTAACTATGGTTTGGTTTTAAGGTGTTTATAAAGATTTAGTGCAATTAATGAGCCATTAGTAATATTCGTGTTTCCTGTTTGTCATGGTCAGACTCTTACAAGCTGAATTACTGTAATGTTATTGCAGGGCTTCTTATCCTGATATGGGTGGAAGCTGGGTGAAACAAGTTGAGCTGGATGAACCTATGCAAGTAAGTGACGTTCATTTGAACTTGCCTTGCAGACACAGAGAGGTGAAGGTCACACCTCAGTGGAGTGCTTTGTTATTCTCTATTTTTAGATATAAGCTCAAAGGATAAATTTTGTCTATCTTTATACACGAATTGCAGACCTATGATGCCATTATTGATATATATATATATATAT